TTGACGCTGCCGGCATGACCTGATGGGGAAAAGAAATGAGGAACTTGCAGACTTCTCATGTAGGCTGAGCCTACAAAATACRTGTTTTTGCTGTTCGTCCATGGAGAATTTTTGTTCTGGAAGATCACTGTGAGTTTTAAAATGCCATAATGAAATAATTATAAGCTTGAGCTACTCAAAGCAGCCAGCTGATCCTTGTCCAAGTAGGATTAGTGGGACATGGAAAAAACATTTATTTATAATTATGGAGGGTATGTCTAAAATGGAAATTTAAACAGACATTTATTTTAAGTTGATTTTATTTTCATTTTCATTAGTGCAGAGAAAGGAAAAAGACTAACACTGKTTTTTTGGGGGAGGGAAATAGCTACATTGTACGTTCTGATACCAATTTTATTCTGTAAACGTATTGAATTATTCTCTTCGGGTAGCTCTGACAGAATCTTTCCTTTAGTATTTTCCCTTGTAGTTCTCAGGAACTTACATGTAAGGATTTGCCAGGGTTGAAAATAGCTCTTATTTATTTATTTATTWATTTATTTATTWWTTATTTATTTATTTTAYTCRTAAATTCTATGTAGCTTTCCCCATTAAACAGTGTGTTTTTACGTAGATCTTGGGTGAATTTCTTAAGCAGAGTAAAAGCAGTCAGCGTGGCTTGTGTGTCCCTCAGCTGGTGATGCAGCATTGCCACCTGGACTGCGGTCATCCCACCAGCAGTGGAAATGAGCTGGTCACAGGTTTCTGTGTCTGTGAAGGCTGCTAACACCCAGTAGTGCAAACAGGCTCTGCAGAGGGACCTTGCAGAGGGACCTGTAATTCATCTCCTTTGGCAAAACCGAAGGCCAAGATCTCTTGGCATCTCGGTTGCCAAACCTTTGGCATCTCGGTTTTGCCAAAGGAGATGAATTACAGGTCGAGACCTACCAGACTGCAGCCTTAGACCCTGTTGTCCACCCAGATAACTGGGTAAAACCTTGGTATTACTCAAGTAGACAATTTTGCCTCTGTCTTCAGCATGTCATTGCAAAACRTAGCTTTGAGTCTGGGGTGTTCAAGCCTGCTTCGTATTTGGTAAGGTTGGTTTCTTGGTCCATACACGGTCATGAGCTGCAGAGTTTATGCTCTTTTAAACGGTCAATGAAAAATCAGAGGGGATTCTAGACCTGATCTGGATGCTGAGAGGAAATGATAAATCAACTGAGAATTAGCACCTTAAACCACAGCCCTTCCAACCCGGCGCCTGTTTCTGTGGCTGCTGCAAGGGGCAGTCCCCAAACTACCCACAGGCAGCGTTGCCGCCAACCCGGCGTCCAGGTCACTGTGCAAATGAGAGCCCCTGGAAACACATCTTTCATTTTTGTGAAGATTTCTGTCAAATTGAAGTGACCTTGAAAAGATGCTGTTAGGAGATATGTTATCTGTTGACTCTGTGCAGTTGTTTCTTGGTTAGTACTAATGATTAATGGTTGCGTTCATTGAATGAGTTGAATCTATAAAATTAAATGCTGCTTTTAGGGTTCCAAAAAACTTGGCAATTGTCACTTAAGCCAAATACTGTGGCAGGAACTTCTGGCTCTTTATGATCTTTCACAGCACCCTTCTAAAGAGTGTGTCTATAAAAAATCAAAGGGATGGCCCAGCTCCCAGTGCAGCAGCATCCTTGGCAATAAACACTACAGTAGCAGCACTTTATAACTGACCTTSTAGCCATCTTCAGGAGGAGGATAARTGTCCTGAGAAACCTAATGGCTTTCTCTTTCTGATCAAATTTGAATTTAAATTTAACTTTAGATTTTGGAGKTTTTTTTTTTTTCTGGGAACACCTGGTTCCGGACAGATCTACAAGAGATGCTGCAAACCCATAGAATGACAAAAGCATCAATACCYTTTCTATTGTCTGTAATTCTGTGGGACAGTGTGGGAAAGAGGAATAGTTGCCAAAAATGTTTATTAATATAAAATGTAAATAGTAAAAGTAGTTAAGTGAGTCTTTTTGTTTCCCTGCCATTTAATTTAGCTGTTGTTGTTTATGTGTTTTTTGTATCACCACATCCTGCCTAGCAAAATGTTCGGAGTTAATTTTGGGTTTTGTCATGTCTTGAAGTTTGACAGATAAGATAAGAACGGTGCTTATCTCCTTTCAAGCTCCTTAGAGAACTATGAGGAAATGAGTAACAAAGGCGCTTTCAGTCTCTTTTATCTTTATTTTGTTATCTAGTAGGCTCACCAATATGTGAAAACCAACGGAGAAATTTTACATGTTTACAGTTACAAAGCCCTTAAACATAACCGGAACCAGCCTCAGTTGTGAGCTGAGTRCTTGCAGATTTTTGAAGTGTTTTTATAGCGTAGCAGTGAATCACTGTGAGCAAGGAGGACGGTGTGGAAGCAAGGCGGACGGTGTTGAAGGCACCACTGACTCCAGCATCCCAAGGCTCCCAGGGCTGTGAACGCAGCGACAGCAGGACCTAGCAAATGGCTCCACGTTTCCTGATTGCAGAAGAAGGCAGATCTGCACTGGGCAGAAACTCGCCCCTTTGGGACCGCTGGTGAAATGCTGGCAGTGGAGAGGGGGACATTGGCTCTTCAGGCTCAGCTCTTGTCCTGTCCTCGCCAGTCTTTTGTTGCGGTTTGGGAGCACGTGCTCTCTCCTGTGTTTTGGTGTCCTCTCAGCATTTCGCTCGTTCTGCCTTGGATGGGCTTTCTGCATCTAATCCTATTTACTAAGAAAAGAGTGAAACCAATATGCCGTTTGAATCCATCGCAAAGCAAAACATAGAGGGGCTCCTTTCAGCTAATGATGATAAATAATACTGTCAGGGGTATATGCTAAACGAAACAGGTCTAGCAGGTACACATGACTTTTTTAAGCAACAAACTCACCCTTGGGTATCTGGATCACAGTTCACACGACTGCAGTGTCTGTAACTTGCACATTTACCCTGTTGCACCTCCCTTGCAAGCGGCTGGAAAGCTGTTCCTCTGCCAGAGACACTCCCTGGGGTCCCCCAGTGCCCCCCATGGCATGACCCAGTGTGCACATTTATCCATCACATGCTTGCAGGCCTGTCCCAGGGCAGAGGCGAGTGCCATGCRCCGGGGTCCCTGTCACTTGAGAAGTCTGAGAAAAGGCAGCAGTAAAACGAACGCCAGCCCTTCAGCTTCCCAAAACGGCGCTAAGCCAGAAGAGGCAATGTTATTTCTGCAGGTCTGTTTTAAATCAACCCAAATATTATCTTGGAGCCGGAGCTATAATTCAGTAAAACTTGATACAATCTTGGAAAGCCACAGAAAGCATTAGGAGAAATTGCTGAGAGTCGAGTGACCTATAGATACTGCAAAACTCRATATTTTACCCTAACTAGGCATACCTCTTAAGTTCTAATTGTGGCACACTGGACAGCATAATGAGCTGCCCATCTTAGCCAAAGTCCTTAAGACTGGGAAGATGCCTGCACACAGAAATCGAACTGTTTTACTGATACTAGATGCCGCTGAAACAGTATATAAATGTATAGGAAAGATACAGCCCTACTGCCACAGAAGTGACTAAAATGGCATAGCTTATCTCCCTACTTCTGTGTTTGTTTCGGCTACCAGTAAGGCTGAATCACAGGATCTTCATCCCTGCAGGTCAGTGAGGAGTTTTAGGGGATGTCTTGAAAGTCTCCCCTTTAGGGGCTGCTGCCACCGCTCCTGTGCACAGGCTGCAAACAGCAGGGACAAAAATCACTGGTAGAATTTTTGATGGAATGTTACATTTTTGGATTGGCATTGCTTCCTCTGTAATTTTCTTTAGAAGGAACATTGATAGCTACGTGCTGCATGTTGTACACAAGTATGAACTGAGTTTCAGTAGACCAAAGGGAAGGTAGCTGAGACACAACTTTAATGCCTTGACTTGGGTTGCAAGAAATCTGCTTTAGGAAGGTAAACGCACCAGAGGGGCTTCCCAGTTCCCCCAGATAATTTGCTGTATTGTGTTTCTTCCTAAACATAAAAAGTTCAAGTATAAAAAAAATGTGAAAATTCTTAAAGTGAAAATCTGTTCATATTATCTCTCACAGACTCTGAATCACGTGARAGTCAGATAACCTCTAGTGACCGTGCTCTTTTCACTGAAACATCAGGATGAGATTATTGCTTTAGGCTCCGTGTTTTTGTCATTAGAAACGTAGATCTCGATCACTACATGTTTCTGACCTTTTCAGCAAGCCTTGTATTATGATTAGAACCAGAGRAGGCTTAATGTTTTCTTGAGGAATCATTGCTGTTGCCTTTCCCCTCCTATTCAGATTTTTCCAATGTTGTAGTTTTTTCTCCAGTATTCCCTAACTGTATTAAGGTGAATAGTGGAGTTGGTCAGAATGTTTCTGTCAAGAATTTTTGACACGCCTCTGTTCCGCAAAAATCTTCAATACATGAATTTGATATGTTTTTAAAAACAAAATATTAGCTTATTTAAAATTGATWAATGGTTCATGCTTTCCAGAGAGAAAAAAAAAAAAAGAGAACATGCACATAAAAAGTAGAAGGGAATGTGTACATTTTTATGCAGAAACCAGTGAGACATTTTAACCTGTTTGGGAACAGAGTGGCTATAACTTCCTTTACATTATTTCCCAGAACTTGGTTCCTTTGAGGTCAGGTCACCCTGGAGGAAGTTCTGGCCTTGAATTTAGTGTGGTCACTGCTCAGACTTTGTTCTGAGCCCGGAAACAAACATGACCCATACATCTACTTAACTACCAAAAGTCGTCTGATTGATTGGTTTCTGTGAAAGGCTTTAAGTCAACTAAGGATAACAGGTGATTTGGTATTGCCAAAAGCTTTATGTAAGATTAACTTGCTCAGCTAATTCTAAAGTGTGTTTCTTAAGAGTGCCGAGAGTTCATGCAGACCCAGGTGTTGATAGTATGTTAGTGTGTGAAAATTTACCCCCCAAAATAATTAAAAAGAACCCAGTACGTAACTTCTGCTCTTGTTGTTCTCCTCAGGTTTGCCAATTTGTCGTTTCGGTCAATGGCCTCAACGTTCTCCACGTGGATTACAGGACAGTGAGCAACCTCATCCTCACCGGCCCTCGAACTATAGTGATGGAAGTGATGGAAGAAATAGAGTCCTGAAAAGAAAAGTCTCTCGCTGGAYGTTTTTACGAGAGAAGTAGCAAAGCACATGAAGCAGCATGACACAAGGAGGCAAAACTTTGCTGTGGCTAAATACTTATTTTGCTTTTGGGGAGGGGGATTCTCTTTCAATTAACTCTAATAACACTGGTTATTATGCTACAAAGTGAACGAYAGATACCAGCATATTTTCACTTAGGACTTTTCTTTGCCTGCTGGAGAGGAGGTTGAGGCCTTTGGAGTGTCTGTCCAACCCAACCTGCTCTGGTCCCAAGCTTCTCCAAAGAGCTGGGCATCGTTTCAGCCACTGAATGAAGCRCTTCAGGAGATGACAGAAGCGAAGGCGCTGGCCCGAGGGGATCCTGCAAAGGGTTTGCATGGCACGTGGACATGGGTGAACATCCTCCGGGTACTTTTTGGGCACACAGGGATGTCCCAGGCACGTGTGGGGCAGTCGCTTTCTCCCTGTGCAAAGGCAATTTGACTGGATGCCGGCGGCATCGCGTGCCAACACAAACGACCTGTGAATGCCTCTACATGGAAAACGTGCTCATTTGCTGTAGAAGATACTCTGCTATGAGTGATTGGGCTTGATAGAATACAGAGATTATTCTAGAAAGAAAAATCAAAAACCAGACAAATGTTGTAAAAGCATGAGCTACTTTTACTTTATACAAAATTTGGCCTTTGAAAATTGGGCAGTTTGTTTAAGTGCCCAGGCACAGATTTAKGTACTCAAAATATTCAAATATGCAATGTTGGTATTTTTTCTTATGTACAAAGGACAGGTGTCTCAGCCTTGGTGTKTGTCAGTTTGGAGAAATTCTGGACACCTTTGGTCCTTGGAGAGTYGTAATATTTAGAGGGTCAGAAGGGGAAGTTCACGGTGTAGACATTAGCAGAGAGACATTCAGATGCTGCAGTCCACTTCAAATTGAAGCAATGTACTTGAAWGTACGTTAAACTTGTTAGCACTTTTAAATCATCACATGTTTTGCAAACTGCAGACTTGCCACATAAGTTGCAATTGACACTATTACTAATAAAATGTATTTAACTGACTCTTATTCAAACAGTAGGCTTTCTTTGTTGATAAATTTTTGAAACAAATCTTTTTTTAATGTGTATACAAAGTCTATGTTCTTCTGAGTTAGGTGATTTCTCGGCTTTGTGGTAGTTAGATTGCATGGGTTTTCTTTGATCTTCAAAATGAATATATACATCCTGTCCACAAAATTATAAATATATATATATATTGCAGACTTTCTCTGCTGTCTAAACTTCAAAATTAAAGCTTGACCTTCTCCATGAGYGTACCAAAAATCCTTCATTTGTGGGAGTAGGAGAAGTATTTTTACCCCTCAAATAATTTTGAAGAATGTTTTGCATTAAAAATTGTTCTCACTGACACATTGCCCTTGCAGTATGTTTTTTGCTCGCTCACACTCTCTTACGTATTTCATCGGGGACACAGTAGGACTCAGAATCCTTTCCCTTTGCAGCTCAGCAGGTAGGAGCCCGTGTTCTTTGTTTCTAATATCCACGGTTAATTTTCTACCAAGGAAACAACACATWTTCCCTTTGTGTTATCGGTGTGGAATGGCGTAAAACTGGAACTGCTCTCTTGATAATAACCAGGCAGGAAAATGTTTGGGAGCACTCTGAGTGCAGCGCTTGTTCATCTTTTTTGCACCCTCAATAAATTTTGTTCATATGTACATATATAACCTATATCGAATGGTATTATACAGTTCATCTAAAATAATCTAGCACAGAATGTTGTATGAGATTGTAGCAACTGTCAGTGAAATCCACTAAAAATATCAGTAGCCTTTTCTCCCAGGGATGTGTCCATTCCTTGGGTTTGTGAATGCAGGAATACTAATACTTCCCCAAATCCTTCCTGTCCTTTTTTTTTTTTTTTTT